CATGCTTTTCCCTTCTTCCTCTTCCTGTTTTCCAGGTTCCTGGAGCCTTACCCACAAATGCAGCAGCACGAAACACCGCATCATTTCTCCCAAAGTGGAGCCCCGAGCTTTAACCCTGGCTTCTATATCCCACTCCCAGCCCCCTGAACCTCCACCACTGATAACACTAATTCTTCCAGAGCTCCCCAAGGCACATACCTCCCCATCTTCCTCTTCTTCCTCTTCTTCCTCTTCCTCTTCTTCCTCCTCCTCCTCAGGATTTGCAGAACCCCTAGAAATCAGACCTAGTCCTCCTACCTCTCGAGGGGGTTCATCAAGAGGAGGCACTGCCATCCTCCTCCTAACAGGACTAGAGCAGCGTGCCGGGGGCCTGACACCCACCAGGCACTTAGCTCCCCAGGCTGAACCTAGACCTGTGAGCTTGGCTGTGGTTGTAGGTTCTGAACCTTCTGCCCTACCAACTCCTCCCAGCCCTGCCTTTGACCCTGATCGTTTTCTCAACAGTCCCCAAAGGGGCCAGACATATGGAGGGGGCCAAGGTGTAAACCCAGACTTCCCTGAGGCAGAGGGCACTCATACACCCTGTCCTGCCCTGGAACCTGCTGCTGCCCTGGAGCCCCAGGCAGCTGCCCGAGGTCTCCCTTCACAGTTGGGAGCAAGTGGGAGAAGAGGAAACCAGTTCTTTATCCAAGATGATGATAGTGGGGAGGAGCTCAAGGGCCAGGAAACTGTGCCACCTGTACCTTCACCCCCTCCTTCATCCCCATCCTCACCTGCCACCTTGCAGCCATCAGGCAGGGTAACAAGAGGAGAAGCCTTGTTTGGGGGCTCTGGTGGCACCAGTGAGCTAGAGCCCTTCAGTCTTTCATCATTCCCAGACCTTATGGGAGAACTCATCAGTGATGAAGCTCCAAGCATCCCTGCCCCAACCCCCCAGCTCTCTCCTGCCCTTAACACCATCACAGACTTTTCCCCAGAGTGGTCCTACCCAGAGGTGAGTCTCAGGTTTTTCTTCTCCTACTTGTTTTCTGATTTTTCAAAAATGAGTTTTATTAACTTATCTCCCATGGTCTGTGATCGACTTTCTCTCAGTTTTCACTTCCATAGTCCTTATTCACATACTTTCCCCATCTCCCCTTCCATTTGTTATCTGCGCACCAATAAGAGACAGACACCAGATGATCAGGGATTCAAGGTCATCCTTGGCTACATAGCACTTTTAAGACCAGCCTAAGCTATATGAGATCCTTTAAAAAAGAAAAAGAAAATTAGTTCTGATGAGATAAATAACTACTTGGCAAAAAGGTTGGTCCTGTTCATCATTGAACTCCTAGACTCTAGCACAGGGCCTGCCATATAGTATTAATTTCTAAGGGTCTAAAAAAAATGAGTGACTGAAAGCCGGGTGGTGGTGGTGATGGCGGCATTGGGAGGCAGAGGCAAGCAGACCTCTGTGAGTTCAGGCCAGTCTGGTCTACGAAGCTACACAGAGAAACACTGTCTGAAAAAGCCAAAGGAAAAAAAAAGTGACTGAAAACCCAACTCCAGTCAAGTGACTGTCTGACTTCTTTCTGTCTGCAGGGTGGGGTAAAGGTGCTCATCACAGGCCCTTGGACGGAGGCCGCAGAGCATTACTCCTGTGTCTTTGATCACATCGCAGTGCCAGCCTCACTTGTCCAGCCTGGTGTCTTACGCTGCTACTGTCCTGGTATGGAGATTGGGAGCTATAGGGGAAGGGACTGTCATTATGGACAGTTAGGATGGGTGAGGACCTCCAGGCTTCCAGGAAGCACTGGAAACAAGTTATTCTTCTGAGGGTACAAAGATCTCTTCCAGCCCTGAGGCTGAGTACTCAGTTCCCCCCAGCAGACAGAGGAGCGTAGCCTTAGTGTCAGCAAATATAGGGTCTGATCTGAGAAGTCTTCTTGTTACCTAACCAATGATCTTAGCTAGTTCTACACCTTCCTTGTGTTCCTAGTCTCCCCTCCTCTAAGGTTAAGCATTTGGCCAAAGGAATCTCTAATGTTCGAGCTGTCTCCGTACGTAGCTTAGTTGGAGCCAGGGTCTTTCTTCTACACCAACCCCAGGAGAAAGTTCATCTGCCTTATGTACCTACTTAATTAAAATTAAATAGAATTTAGAACTCATTTCTTTAGGCACACTGACCATATTTCAAGTGCTTAACCACCACACATTCTAGTGCTTCCGTGTTGAATAGTATAGATATAGAATATACCCATCACTGTAGAAAACTCTTCTGGACAGCACTGGTCTAGACTGACTTTACTATCTTTTGATACCACCCTTCTCTGCAACCTAGTGCTCAACAGCTGTCTTCCTTGGGGGACTCCAGGTTGGCAGTATTGTTGCTTAGGAGTATATTCTCTCCTGGTCTCCACAGTCCCAGTCAACCATGTATGAAGGGGAAGGGGAAATAAGACCAGAGAAGCCGAGAATTGGGAGAAAAGTCTCAGGCTCTGGTGTTGAGGTTGAGGCCTGGCAATTTTATCCTCGGGTGATAGACATTGAGACTCTGGATATCTCTTACTGGACACTACTGGTGAACAGACAGCTTCCCTTTCCTGCATTTCAGTAAGGGTCATGACCCCTGAACTCTGGTCTAAAGGACTAAAGGAGTTAAGCACTATCATGTTTGCTGAGCAAAACCCTTAACTCAGAGTCTACAGCCAGGAATTCTCTGGTCCATAGATGGAATTAAGTTCTTAAATAGTCTCCCCTCCTATTAGTGCAAAGGCTACACACTGAAGCTAGGGGTCTCTTTGGCCCACAGCAAGGGGGCTGGAGAAATATAGACTAATCATCACTGACTCTAATACAGCTAATCAGCCAGGAAAGGAGCCAGACAAAGAGTCCTTCTCTCTGACCTGTTATCCCCAGCCCACGAGGTAGGGCTGGTGTCTTTGCAGGTGGCAGGGCGGGAGGGGCCCCTCTCTGCTTCTGTGCTCTTTGAGTATCGAGCCCGCCGATTCCTGTCTCTGCCTAGTACACAGCTTGACTGGTTGTCACTGGATGGTAAGTACTGAGCCCTTTGACCCAAGGTCTTAGGCATTACATATTTGAGTATGACATGCTTCCCCTATCTTTCAAGTGCACCATTAAAGCCCACTACACGACTGTTTCCTCTGTGTGTGTGTGTGTGTGTGTGTGTGTTAGTGTTTCTTAGAGAGGGTCTTGCTGTGTAGCCCTGGTTAACTTGGAACTTCTTTGTAGATCAAGCTGGCCTAAAACTTGCTGCCATCTTCTTGCCCCTGCCTCCCAGATGCTGGGATTCTCAGGCAAGTGCCACCACACTCAGCTCCATTGATATATATTTTGTTTCATTTTGTTTTGTTTTTTTTTTTTTTTTTGAGACGGGATTTCTCTGTATAACAGCTCTGGCTGTCCTGGAACTCGTGTAGAAAAGGCTGACCTTGAATTCAGAGATCTGCCTGCCTCTGCCTCCCAAGTGCTGGGATCAAAGGTGTGTACCACCACTGGCTTCTTAATTTTTTTTATTTTATTTTTTTTGCATTGGTCATTTTTCTTTTTTTTTAATTTATTTATTATGTATACAGTGTTCTGTCTGCACACCAGAATAGGGCACCAGATCCCACTATAGATGGTTGTGAGCCACCATGTGGTTGCTGGGAATCAAACTCAGGACCTCTGGAAGAGCAGCCAATACTGTCAACCTCTGACCCATCTCTCCAGCCCAGTCATTTTTCTTAATGTGGTAGGAAACTGTCCTTATTCCTGTGAATTCTGAAGGTAGTTTTATTTATATTTTTTAATATGTATGGGTGTTTGGCCTACATATGTGTCTATGTACCCACAGAGGCCAGAAGAGGGTGTCCAATCACCTGGGACTAGAGTTGCACCCATTGTAAACTGCCATGTGGGTGCTGGGAATCAAACAGGACCCTTAGGAAGAGTAGCCATTGTACTTATGATGACCTTGAGTCATCTCTCCAGCCCCTTGTTTTGTTTTTTGGCAGGGTCTCAGATAGTCTAGGCCAGCCTCAAATTCATTTTATGTCTTTGAATTCCTGGATCCTTCTGCTTCTACCTCCCAAGTACTGTGGTTGTAATCATGAGTTACCACTCACATCTTCAATTGTTACTGTTAAATAAATATAAAGTTAAGCAAGGAGAAGTTGTGTGTACTTGTCATTCTAGCTGCTCTGGAAGTTGGAATTGGAGGACCTCAAGTTTGAGACCTCTCAGGCTAAAGAGATAATTCAGTTTTGTTTTGTTGTTAGTTTGGTTTGGTTTGAATTTTTTAAAAAAGATTTTATTTGCCGGGTGTTGGTGGCACACACCTTTAATCCCAGTACTTGGGAGACAGAGGCAGGCGGATTTCTGTGAATTCGAGGCCAGCTACACAGAGAAACCCTGTCTCAAAAAAACAAACAGACAAAAAAAAGATTTTATTTATTTATTATATATATAGTGTTCTGTCTGCACACCCAAAGAGGGCACCAGATCTCATTATAGATGGTTGTGAGCCACCATGTGGTTGCTGGGAATTGAGCTCAGGACCTCTGCAAGAGCAGCCAGTGCTGCTATCTCTCCAGCCCTTAGTTTGATTTTTTTGAGATGGGGTTTCCTTTCTGTAGCTTTGGAGCCTGTCCTGGAATTCGCTTTGTAGGCCAGCTGGCCTTGAACTCACAGAAATCTGCATGCCTCTGCCTCCTGAGTGCTGTGATTAAAGCTTTTAAAAAAGGTTTGGGAGGACTGGAGGGACAGCTCAGTGGTTAAGAACATGAAGTGCTCTTGCAGAGGACCCAAATTTGATTCCCAGCACCCACATGGTGGCTCACGGCCATCTGTAACTCCAGTTCCAAGGGGTTGGATTTCCTCTTCTGGCCTCTCTGGGCATCAGGCACACAAGTGGTACACAAACATACATGCAAGCAGAACACTCATACACATAAAACAAGAATTAAAATAAAAAACTGTAGATCATTTATTTTTATGTTTTTCTTTTGAATGGTAAGGATATATTCATTACAGGACTGTTGAAAATTACAGAAAAACACCTACAGAAAAATAGAAATGTGTAATACCATTGACATTGCTATTATTAAAATGTCCTCTTACCCATGCAAGCATATGTACAACATATACTCATCTGTGTTTTAGCTGGCCCCGTGTCTGCTCCTTTTACTTGTTTTGCTTTGTTCTGCTCTGGCTGCTCATCACTTTATTTTTCTACCCCTTTCAAATCTTTGTGCCATCTCTCTGCTGGGTCTCCTTTCTTCCCAGTTTTCCTTAAACTTTATCTGGTCTTGCCTATTTTCTTTTCTAATTGCCTGGTTGGGACTTTCCTGGATCTGTTCCTCTCTCTGTCCTATCTGAGTTTCTGTTCATCACTCCCTTCTGTCGTGACATTGTGGGGCATCCCCAGTCTTCACTATTTTTCTGTGCTTGTTTTCTCCAGGCTCTGGTCCCCTCTCACTTTCTTTCCTTGTCCTTATTTGATCTCAAGAGGGAACAGATACAGCTTGTGTTTGTGTGTGCATAAATTTGTGTGTGTATGTAAATTTGTGTTTGGAGTTGGGAGGAGGAAGAATGAACATGGCTATCCATCTCTGTCACCTTCCTTTCCCAATCATCCTTTGTGGACAGCTGCAGAGGACCTGCTGCTTTTCACACTATAGTCTTTGAGTTCTTTGGGGGTAGAGGTTAATCTAGAAGGGGGATCTTGGAGTACTTTAGCCCATCATGGGGAAAAGGGTAGTATCTGGGACAAGATCTTAGGGTACACTCTGTTTAGGAAAAGGCTGGAGGAGGACATGCCAATATGTGGCTTGGTTAGCTGAGGACCGGATAGGCACTGTGGAATTCCTGACACCTCTGTCTTGGAGGAAACAGCCTTGGTTCTTAATCCTGGTTCTAGTCTGTGCATGAGATTTAGAGCCCTAGTTCAAGATCCGAGTCTTCCTGGTAAGTTCTACGTAGATGAGTGGGTAAGGAGGATGTGGAAGAGAAAGCTGGATCATCCTGTTCTTCATCCCCTAGATCTTGGGTATATCCACAAGTAGTGTTGTTAGCGTCACCTAGATCCTGTCCCTCCTATGCCCACCCCACAGATAGCCAGTTCCGGATGTCCATCCTGGAGCGGCTGGAGCAAATGGAGAAGCGGATGGCAGAGATTGCAGCAGCTGGGCAGGCACCTGGCCAGAGTCCAGAGGCTCCTCCAATTCAGGTACTTCTACAACGGTCTACAGTGGGAACACAGGATCTCCATAAGGAGAGTGGTTCTAGCATATGACTCCACACTCACCTATCCCCAGCCTCATCAGCCAGTACTCTTCCCTCTTCCTGATATATCACCTTGCTGCCACCCCCACTCTGTGGCAAGAGTGGCTATTCTGGGCACCCTCTCAGCATGACAGGCTTCGGACTATTTCTGATCTGAAGGGTGGAGGTGAAGATGAGGGTGGGGGAGGAATCAGGAATGTTGAGCCTAAGAGCTCTGTGGGTTCTGAGTCTCTGAAGGAAAAGGGCTGGGGGCTTAGAGAAGACGATGGCTCCTGTGGGGGAAAACCATATGTGGACATGACACCAGTCAGTGCTAGTATGGACACACAGCATGGGCATCGTTGTATAAGGTCAGCTCCAGAACTGCCAGAAGTGAGGAGGGGGGCAGGTGGTCGTGAGGCCACATAGGGACATACACTATGCGAGCCAGTGAGCTCTCAGTGGCAGTGGGGACCTGGAGTAGGAAGTGTGTGTGTGTACACTAAAAGCTGAAGCTGGGGAGACAGCCTGTGAGGGACCAAACGCCCAACCTCTACATATGTGTGTGTGTGTGTGTGTGTGTGTGTGTGTGTGTGTGTGTGTATTGCAGGATGAAGGCCAGGGCCCTGGTTTCGAGGCACGTGTGGTGGTTTTGGTAGAGAGCATGATCCCACGTTCCACTTGGAGAGGTCCTGAACGTCTGATCCATGGAAGCCCCTTCCGAGGCATGAGCCTTCTGCATCTGGCTGCTGCCCAGGGCTACGCTCGACTAATTGAGACTCTGAGCCAGTGGCGGTGAGCAGGGGCAGCCAGGTTTGGGGGAGTGCTGGGGGAAGCAGGGGCACTGGGCAGCTACTGAGACTGAAGCACCAGAGGGTAAGAACTTGGATCCCTGCCTAGAAGAACCAGGGTCACTATAGGAAGGCAGGCACTTGGGAAGACTAGCATTTGGAGGACTCCTAATATCCTGACTTATGACATTGACTTCTTGACCAACTTAAGTTGACAGCAATTTCTAGTCCTTTTGCTGTTTCACTTTGTCCCCCCCCTTTTTTTTCTCCTGACTGGGTTTTGTTGTTGTCCCTAACCTCTAGAAGTGTGGAAACTGGAAGCTTGGACTTAGAGCAAGAGGTTGACCCGCTCAACGTGGACCATTTCTCTTGCACACCTCTGGTGAGGATGTTGTTTCCAAGTTCCCTCAGGGCAATAAGCAATAGGAATAGATACTTCAAAGGAGTGATCCTTTGAGGAAAGCAGGGAAATACCAGGGTGGGCCAAGGCCTGAGGACTGGCTACCTGGAGGAGGACAGGCCTTACTTCCACCTTCTCTCCTTAGATGTGGGCTTGTGCTCTGGGACATTTGGAAGCTGCTGTGCTCCTTTTCTGCTGGAACCGACAAGCGCTGAGCATTCCTGACTCTCTGGGCCGTCTACCCCTATCTGTGGCTCACTCTCGGGGTCATGTGCGCCTTGCCCGCTGCCTTGAGGAACTGCAGAGGCAGGAGCCTTCAGTCGAGCACCCACTTGCTCTATCTCCACCCTCCTCTAGTCCAGACACTGGTGAGAGCTGCCTTTAGGTCTCTTCAGAGGCATATGGCCAAAACACTCCCACAGCAGAGCAAAGGGTGGGAGACAGTGAGAGAGAAAGGGATGGGGTAACAGGACCAAGAACAGGCAGGGAAAGTGCTGGAGAACTGCTCATCCAGAGGACCTGGGTTCTGTTCCCAGCACCCACAGTGTAGTTCACAACAGACCTGTATTTAAGCAAACAACTCATACACATGAAATAATAATGAGTCTTTAAAAGGGCAGAGGAGCCGAGACTGAGGTGAGGGTAGCCTGCAGCTCCCGCTCTCCTTACCCATTCTACCCTCCTCCTAGGCCTGAGCAGCGTCTCTTCACCCTCGGAGCTGTCAGATGGCACCTTCTCTGTCACATCGGCCTACTCAAGTGCTGCAGATGGCAGTCCTCCCCCTGTACCCCTGCTGGCCTCTGAAATCACTATGGAGATGATCCCAGGCCAGCTTTCTCCTGGTGCCACCGAGACACCCTTACTCCTCATGGACTATGAAGCCACGAGATCCAAAGAGTCTGTTCCCTCCCTTTCTGGCCCCCCACTAGCCCAGAAGGATGGGACTCCTCCAGAGGATGCTGGCAGCCCTCCAGCTGTGGATGTGATCCCGGTACTATTTATTGATGGGATTGGATTCATAAAGTCTAAGAATGGAGCGAGGTGCAGAGATGTAGTGACACAGATTTCCATGAGGCAGAATCAAGACCATAATTTACTATTTTGGTGTAGGCACAGGACCCCTTTGCTTAGCTCCTTCTAGACTTTGAGTACTCAGCACTCATGAGGTGAGAGGTTAAGAATTCTGGGGAGTGTCTTCACTTAGAACTGTACTGCTGCAATCACCTGTCGGCCCATGAAGGGAAAGGTTCTTTTTGTTTTGTTTTGTTTTTCAAGACAGTGTCTTACTATGTAGCCCTGGCTGTCCTGGAACTCACTCTGTAGTTCAGGCTGGCCTCAAACCCAGAGATCAGCCTGCCTCTGGCTCCCAGATTAAAGGTGTATGCTAGGACCTGTGGATATATTGGCTTTAGACAATGTCTCAAAACAAAACAAACAATGGCCAAATATCCACAAAGGCAGCATAATGGAATATGGCCAAGTGGGAAATGCTATGTGCCTCATAGCTAGCTATTCACAAGAGTTTTACGTGGTAAGCCCTAGGCTGGTTCTTGGAGACCTGAAGCAGGTGGAGTTAGAAGCTTGGGCTACACCTGTGGAGATATATGTTGCTCAGATGGCATGGAGCAGATCCAAGAGGGACAGTGGGCAATGAGGAAGGGTACTAAAATCTTCATCCTTCACATATCGTGTTCTCCACAACTTAACAGTATGAAGGACTGTGTCCCTCAGAGGAAATCAGTAAGAAAGAATGAATGAGCAATCTTAGTTCAGAATTAGTGAGCAGAAAAGCAGTGGTATCCAGAAAGTAGATGAGGGAGCGGGGGCCTAAGGCTATAGCTTAGGCTGTGCTGGAACATCAGTAGTTAGGGCCCCAGAAAGTTCACGTAGTTATCTCCCTTCATCCAGGTGGACATGATCTCACTAGCCAAGCAGATCATCGAAGCCACACCAGAGCGGATTAAACGAGAGGACTTCTCGGGGTTACCTGAAGCTGGAGCCTCACTGAGGGAGCAGACAGGCACCGTTGGGCTCAGTGAGACCATGTCCTGGCTAGCCAGTTACCTGGAGAATGTGGACCATTTCCCCAGCTCAGCCCCTACTAGGTGACCAGCTCAGAACAAAGCTTCCAGATTGTTTTTCAGAGAAAGATGGGAGGGATGAGATGGGCTTGCTTATAGCCAGAGCAGCATCCTGGCTGAGGCCCTGGGTGTTTGAAAATGGACCTGAGCTGAGTGATGAACTCTGGGGCCACTCTTTTCAGACTTTATTGCTGAGGATGGGCCTCAATTGCCATCTCTAGCTGGGATAAGAGTGATGTAGGATGCTCTGTGATATCCTTTTCCTCATCCCCCACAGTGAACTGCCCTTTGAGCGAGGACGTCTAGCTATCCCTCCAACACCTTCCTGGGCAGAGTTCCTCTCTGCTTCTACCAGTGGCAAGATGGAGAGTGACTTTGCCCTGCTGACACTCTCAGATCATGAGCAGCGGGAACTCTATGAGGCAGCACGAGTCATCCAGACAGCCTTCCGAAAGTACAAGGTCAGAAAGCCCAGTGTCTCAGGGCAAATTAGCCATCCAGAGGCTTTAAATGGGACTAAGAAAGAACCAAGGGGCCAGTAGTTGCCACCAAGCCTGATGACCTAACTTTGATCCCTGGAATTCATACTGGAAGAACCGACTCAAATTGTCCTCTGATGTCCACATACAGGCATGCCCATATACACACACAAAATAAATAAATGTAAAAAACAAAGGTTTTAAAAGAGAGGACTTCGGGAGGAGGGACTAGGTGGGCAGTGAGATGCTGAGATGAGACCTTATTTTCTTCCTGTAGGGCCGAAGGCTGAAGGAGCAGCAGGAGGTAGCCGCAGCTGTGATCCAGCGTTGTTATCGGAAGTACAAGCAGGTTAGAGTCTTTTCTCAAAGTTATACCAACACACATCCACCCAATCTAACCAAGTCCCTGTGCTGAGAGCCCTAACTTCCCCTCTCTCTCCACAAGCTGACCTGGATTGCACTTAAGGTATTAGGCATGAGATCTGGGTGTGAATGTGGGTTAGGAAAGGGATCTGCATCAACCTAACTTAAGGTGACCTTCAGGGGTTTAGATTTCTGTCCCTCGGTTTCAGCGCCTGTCCCCTCTCCTTCTCTGCAGTTTGCACTCTATAAGAAAATGACGCAGGCGGCCATCCTCATTCAGAGCAAGTTCCGAAGCTACTATGAACAGAAGCGGTTTCAGCAGAGCCGCAGAGCGGCTGTACTTATCCAGCAGCACTACCGCTCCTACCGCCGCAGGCCAGGGCCTGCTCACCGGCCCTCAGGCCCCCTACCGGCCCGAAACAAGTAGGGACCACCTCTTCCCGCGCCTCTACAGCTCTCTGGTTACTTATTTGATAAGGCCCACTCTTTGATCTCTTCTGCCTGCTTGCCTTTCCCTCCAAAGGCTTAAGGTGGGAGACTGAGAATGCGTGAGTTCTATGAGGTCTCTCTCTTCCACCAGGGGCTCCTTTCTCACCAAGAAGCAGGACCAGGCAGCCCGGAAAATCATGAGGTTCCTGCCTTGCTGCCGACACAGGTTCTAATCCTTTACCCCTGGATCTCTGCCTGCCACCTTTTCTTATCCACCACTGTCCTCTAACTCCTCGCTGTCTCTCCGCAGAATGAGGGAATTGAAACAGAACCAGGAGCTGGAAGGGCTGCCCCAGCCAGGACTGGCCACCTGACCTCTCCACCGCCTTTCTCCACACCCTGGGGGCCCCGGGCTGTCTTAA